CTTTCTCTAACTTAGAAATGATAAACTAGAGGGAAAGCGGTAAGTCAATACCACCTACCGTCAATTCTTAGGCTACTCTAATCGAATAGTGAGATTGACCATTACTTCTAATACCTCAACGGCTGGAAGGGAAAGTATCTTCAGTAATAAAATTCAAACCCGCGACCCGTATAATGTAAACCTAGCAACCCTACCACCAGGTCCTCCATAGAAAGTACAAAACAAAATAATTACATCTATACGGCATCTTGTACAACCTTCTTCTATTATCACAATATATTAATCCTCCAGTGGGTCAGCGGTAAGTTTAAGGACTTACAACGCTAACACCCGGAGTTCTATTCCTTGTGATGAGAAAATGGGGGTAAAGGAAGTTCACTGAGAACAGCCACGTCAAAAAGTGGTGTTGATCAGAGTTTTCATCTTCAGGTTTTCATAGTTTCGACAAACGAAACAATGATTAACAGTTACTCCTAATTCATATTTTATAGTCATCCAGAACCTGTGAAACTTCACATTCCTAGACAATGTGACTTCAATCATCCATCTCTCTGATATCACGGTAGTAGATAACATTATCTCTCAGTAACGGATGGTACTTTTACTAAGGAAACCGCATTTTTGTAATCTAAATTCCCTGGAGAATAAGTACGTGGAATCCTAGAATTTGGATATTGCTAAAACACGTTTTCACCTTCTTTATTTGTACAGATATATAAGAGTTAAATTAATAGTAGGATTACTTTATAGTTGTCTCTAATAAAGAGTAACATCTCTGTACCTATTGTATCTGGAGAATAAAGTTAAAGAACGGCTGCTTAACATTTAATTAGAATTCTTTGTTTTCTAACTACAGGATTGTAAAAGGCAGTTCTGCTAAAAATAATTACCACTCCACTGCTATCCTGGACAGAGTGACATCCAGTATACATATCCTGGATACACTCATTCATACTAGTGATATCAGAGAAACAGTCAGCTACACTACTAGAACCCTAAATACAGCCACTAAATTGCACGTATCTTTGGTACAGTCACACATGCACTACTTGTACCCTTTTAACAATAAATCTTACTAGTGGTATCACTCCCGCCGCTGGTACTTTGGTTAGAATCATCGAAACTTGCTCTTGTTCTGAGAGTAGTTGCCACCTCTATTGTTATCCGTTTAATAATCAACCCTCTACTGGTATCAGGGATACATTCATCCTCCCACCTGGTATTCTGGATAATCACCTCTACTACTGGTGTCCTATGTATAGTCACTCCCACCACTGGTACTCTGGTTAGAATCATCGAGGTGGCAACTACTCTCAGAACAAGAGCAAGTTTCTTTATTGTTAGCACTAAGTTTTTTAAAGGATCAGCCTTAATATTGGTTATCATATTACCATTGCTACATACTGCCATTTGTAAAGTCGTGACCTCAATTTTAAATGATTCATCTAATGCTAACCCTTTTGTACTCTGATCAACGTTTTCGATATTTGACAGGACCCTGTCTGGTAAAAATACAACCTCTTCTTTTAAACATGTGCTAATGGGTTTATCTAACTGTGTAGAGAATATGCTGATTCCGACTTTATCTTTAGATTTCAAATGATGTGTGGTGTCGTCCAATATATATTCTGTACGTTATCTCAAATAATTTAGAATGTTTGTGAGAAGCTGCCTGAATGAGTCTTTTTTTGAAGGCTACATTAAACGTCTTAGACATGGCATTATATTTTTTGACATCTCTCGACAGAGTTTTGATTATATTAAATGCTTCAGCTCTGGAACATTTACCAGATGTCTGTTAAGGAAAATAAAATAAATGTAGGATTAAGTGTTCAAATTAATACAGTTGTTTGTTATCACTATTAGAAATACACACACCTTAGCTTCACTATCGTTGGACTGACGTTTCATCCCTTGAGAACTCCGGCTGTTGTTCGTGGTGTTTACTCTTTGTTTTTGAGAAGATGGAATAAAAATGTGTTGATTTTCACGGGTTTTTATAGCACATTTAAGTGCCTAAAAGTATACTTTATAAAACACATGGTATTTTCATTTTTAAGTCATACTTACACAACTGTTCTTTTTTACTCTATAATTGGATACGGTTGTTTCATACAACCATGCCTATATTTACCATCCAGTATTGTTCCGTGCTCCTATGTAGGTGTTTTTATACCTCTCTAACAGAAAACTAAAAAGGCCATGTTCTAGGTTTATTTTTCTATCCTATACTTACATACAATGGAGTTTGCTTCAAAAATCCTAAATTATATATTCTTGATTCATGCTCTCAGGAAGTGCGTGCTTTTCTGAAATACTATTATGTGATTAAAATACAAAAATCATTGTTCCTGTAATTAATGAAGTCGATTTAGCTCAAGTTAAAACCATAAGAAAGTTTTAATCCATTTATATGTATATATTTGAGATTGTAAACACAAAAGGTCTTTTTATTTCAGTTTAGAACATTATCATTAAAACATCAGTTGAGGTTAACTATGAGGTAGTAAACCCTATAAATTGCTTCAACTATTCTACATGAATTACTTTGTATGTAATATCGGACTGACTTTATTCATGGCTATAAACACAAGATTGCTTTTTCATCCAGTTCATAATACATGTCTCAGATTCTGCGATGATCTTTACCAATTTGATTTGTTGAATGAAACACCTAAACACGGTTGCAGAAGCTGAGACCGATATGAAAAATCACATGTAAAAAATGCTTTGTGCTTTGGACTAGTCACTTTCTCCTGTTTTCGAACAGAAAATTGTATAATAAAGAATTTTCTGATTTCGTTCAGTATTCTGTGCATTTAGATTGCTTTCCAATCAACAGTTATTTTAATAAAAATGGGTTTCTTTGTAAAATTACAAAATAAATCTTTAAGCTTTAATGTATAATAATTGTCATATTTATATTAAATCAATTTTTATTCTGCAGTTTGATCACAATTTATTCGAAATGAAACCAGTTTGAAAAATGATGTATATCATATTTTCCACAATTTCGTGTAACATATTTTTTCTTTCTGGATACAGATTAATACTGAATTAATATTTTCTCTCTTTTCATCGGTCTGGCATGGTCTGGTGGTTAGGGCGCTCGACCTGTAATCTGAGGGTCGCGGATCGAATCCCCGTCACAGAACATGCTTGCCCTTTCAGTCGTGAGGGCGTTATAATGTTACGGTCAATCCCACTATTAGTTGGTAAAAGAGTAACCCAAGAGATGGTAGTGTGTGGTTTTGACTAGCTGTCTTCTAGTACAGATAGTCCTCGTGCATTGTGTAACTTTACGTGAAATTAAAGCCAAACCTCTCTCCTTTTTTGGAGCCCCAAAGTGGCTGATTGGTTTCGATGCCCGTGGTAGGCAAAGCGTGGATAACCTATTGTATAGCTTTGCACTTAACAACAACCAACCAACTTTTCTAGCTGTAGGTCTTGTCCGTTTCATCTTCTCACCCTTGCATTTAAGTCTCATCGCATTAGCCTTACCAAGCCTAAACATAATTTGTTTTCATCTAGTTGAATTTTATTGTGTATCTTTGGCTGTGGGTTCTCTTCAGGCTAACCTTCTCATGTGTGTCTGGATGTGGGTATTTTCTCGTGTGTTTGTCGATATTTTGTTTTATTTGATGTAACAAAACAACATTATTCTTACGTAGGTATTTTCATTAATTATAAAGCAGCGAAAAATACCAGAAATACTGAGTTTTCAAGAGTGTCGGTGATAACGCTAATGTGAAATTTCATTAAGTTCATATTCTTTGAGTTCCGAACAAAAAAAAAGGCTTTAGAGATTAGTTAGTTTGCATCTTTCTTTGATAATTTCTGTATTTTTGGACGGGTTCTTTTGGATTATTAGGCTAAAGTAATAATGAAAAATCTAGACTGCTTAATGACAACAAAAACCTTCCCATTTAATTCGATATCTAACGTAACCAATGTCAACTACGTAAGTCTTTTAACATGTTCAGAAACTTCAGTTATGATCTCGTACTTCTTAACTCTACTTTTATCGATTGAGTAATGTTATTAAATTGGCATGCTAAACTCTGTATGATAAATTAACAACCTAGATGTGATGGTGGAGAAAATTATTGCAATTACCAGCGGCACAGCAGTAGATGTAACAGTGTAGACCACATGGGTTCTCCCTTTCTATTATGTCAATTGAGGTTGAAAATGTCGATTAGATGCACTGTACTTGGAGTATTTGTGATCTGGCGTGTTCTCACGATATTATATTCGTAGCTGATAGTAAACGTTTAGTTTCGCAATATCCGTACACCTTATTGTATTACAATACATCATCCTATTTACATATTCCTTGTTTATTTTCTTTAGAGTTATGATGACATATTTTTTAGTGTTCATTAACTTGATAGTTAATGTTGTAACAAATAAAGAGTTTAACTTTGAACTTCTTTCTTCTGTTGGGTGTCAAAACAAAATTTAGAGCATTTTCATCGATTTAGGACACTGCCTTCCAAGTTGATTTATAGTAGACGATTTTATGATGCTTAAGTTTACTTCAATTTCAAATTGTAGCTAGCATACACCACTTCTTCAAATTAAAGATGAATAATTTTCTTCTATATATACAAGTACTGTTTCTGTGTTTCGTCTAAATGAGTAACAGTTTACATCTGTAAACATTATTTAAAACCAATAGTAATAATAATATCTACCATTCAGGTTAATCAGAATAACATTTATCGCTTGAAACTAGATTTTAAACTTGTGTACGATATGCCACCTGGGTGTTGAAAAAGAAAACTTAAACAGATTCTCATAATTAAATAACAATTGTTCGTCATTGTTGAGCTCTTACTGTTATGTGGACGAATGGGATACTGTATTATTATCCTGTTCACTAATAATGCATATTATTATTGTATACTCCAGTTTTATAAATTGAAACATAGCACTTTTCACTAATGAATTATTGTACTAGTCTCTCTAATACTAAAGTGAAATAAAAATAAACAGAATTGTTTTAATATGTGTATTTTTAATGTATTGCTTACAAATCAGGAATTTGTATAACAAAAAAAATCTAAAAATACTTTATCTATTGAAAGAGTAAACAGGTGCTGCCATCTGAAAAAGAAACATATAGAATAAAATATTTAAAACTCAAGTTTAGATAAAAAACAATATAGCGAAGTTTTTGAATTCTATATTTGATTGCAATATTTGTTCTATTTTACATTAATCAGACATAATATTTAAAATTCACACCTAACATTTGTGTAACATGTTTAGCTGCTATTTTTTATCTTAAACACTTTAATATACCAAAATATCTTGACAACTTTCCTGACATGCTCAACCCTGGCAATTATATAGATTTATTTCTTCTTGGATTTTATATCTATGAAATGTTTATGTATATGCATGTATTGTTTTTAAAACATTTCCCTTTTTAACTGAAATGGGCTATACTTTGGAATAAATTAGCATCAGTGTGGAATACTGTATTAACAAAGGTAAAATAGGTTTAAAATGAGTTAAGGCTTGTTAACATTCTCAGACATAGAATAGCATTTCGCAGCTCAATACTAAGAAAGTTTATCTTGTTTTTTTACAAGTATTTACTACTCCTTTGTGAACCGTACTTTACTTTGATACGGCCAGTGAAAAACAATAAAAAATATTAAACAAAAACTACAATATTAAAACGAAACGCCGTATGTAGAAATGCTGCTAGAATAAATGTATTTATCTTCCATCCTAATTCCTAAATTAATCAGAATATGATGATACAAGTATATCAGTGAAACGTGACTTTTTTGATAGCTTTGCTCAACCTCACTAAAATATGTGCATGTTCTTTGTCAGTCAAATATTCTACTAATGACTAAAGTAGTTTAACCAAAAATGGTTGGGTGAAGAAGAAAATAGTTTAAAACATGAAAAATTAAGGATAACCATTTTCGAAATTCTTAACTTATTTGTTTGTTTTCGCAAACTTACACAATAGGTTATCTGCACTATGTCCATTGAAAGGAACTGAACTCCGGAAATCAGTGTTTTAACTCCTGCGGGCAGGAGGTAGTTGTTAAATTATTCAGAGTGAATAATTAATCTCACTTTATTAATTACATATCTATAGATACAAATAACTACGCTTTATTAATATAAGTCAATTTAAAAGTATGAAATAGTAATAGTGTGAAAATGTAGAAATAGGCATTGACAGATAACAGACTGAAAACTTTGTCAGTCATGTTGTGTTATGTGAGAAAGAATAAACGACCAACTTGCTTACAGTTTAAAAGTTTCTAACCCACTACTTGACGTAAACATTCTCCTTCAATTTTCTTCAGCTCATCTTCTATTAAATCCTGAAAATATATAAACAAATCATGTGTTTGTGCAAGCATTTTTGTCTTTAAAGTAAACCCATATTAAATCCTGATTTGTTCGATCATTTACTTTGGCATGTGATGATAGACGCAGCAATGCATCCATGTGTAGAAAAAATTAACTGAATTATTTAGGTTTAATTTCGACTTGAAAGCTCAGATCACAAAAAAAAAGACATTCACATTTTTAAGAAAAATCATTTTCCGCTAATACGTGTTGATTTACTGAAACATCTAGTACTATACTAGATTATAGAAAATTCTAGAAGATCGTTTACTGAACTAGATTACAATTCGTCTCAAGGCGTACAGAACATGCTGAACTACATTTTTGTAGAAGTGAAAATTTAAACCTTACTTTAAAGTAATAGATATGAAAGTACAACCAGATTAAAATAATATATTTTTACATAATTTAGGCATTCATTCATAAACAATTTCGTGATTTACGACCATTATATTTAAAGTAACTTTATTAGATTTAAGAATTTAATACCGATGAAACTTCTGTGAATTTTTTAAAATGTTCTACGTTTATTTATGGAAGGTATTGAATTTCTGGAAAACAATCAAATTAACACATAGTACTGTTTAACACTAAAAAAATAAAAAAATACGCAAAATAAACATTGGTATCTGAGTTGTCCCTATCGTTGAGCGTTTTTTTTGTTTTTCTAATATTCGGAAAAAAATAACACAAATTCCAGTTTATTTATGTGTAATGAGCTACGTATTTACTCGATAATGTTCTACATGTTAAATTTTTTGATTGGCTTAACACACAAATAAAACAAAGCTACACAGCGTGCTATTTGTGCTAAGTCAACTTCAGGTATCGAAACCCGAATCAAATATAAATTTGAATTAACATAAACTTAAAAGTACAGCACTGAACTAGTTTACTAACTGTGTAACTCACCGAATGACTGACTAAGTACCTCATTCAGAAAATAACTGTTTCACCATATGACTAAGTAGCTAACTCAGTTATTGATCGGTAACTTTCCATCAGACTTACTAACTAACTAACTCACTGTTTCATCACTGGTTCATCAATCCTGGTGTTTTTGTCGAAAATTCATATTTATTTCCTTAAGGCAAGAAAATTTTAGACGTCACGAATATAAATGGTCAAATATATCTAGGCGTCACGAATCACCATTACGTAATGCTAAAACTCCGTCTAACAAACAACGAAAAATATCTAAATTACGATGTTAAAGATACAACAAAAGTGTGTACTTACAATTGCAGGTTTCAGACATATGGCAAACTAGGATTAAAAATAAATATAAATATGGTTACATATAGTTGTATATTTTCCCTCTGATTAATAAAACAACTATCAGTTAATATATTTTTTATGTTTTATGTTTTCAAATTTATGGTAATTACTTTTCTCATTTATGACAAATATTTATCCAAAACATTTAAAAAAGAATAATTATTGTAGTTCTCAACATTTTAAGAAAATTCAGTTGTTTGGATGGTTAACAGAGTAAATACACGGTAGAAAAAATCTTCTGAAACCCCAGAAAAAATATAACAAAGTGAAAAATGTAACATTATAAGACATTCGCATTTATTGCAGAAGTAATATCATTATTAAGAATAGATGTTTAAGTAGCATATTCTGACAGAGATTAATTATAAACGTTGATAACATAAGAAATGTAGTTTACATTTAGAAAATATGTTTGATTGAGAAACTCAGTTTTAATTAAGAAAGGTAAGAAAGCAGGTTTTACCTAAAAAGAGTAACAAAGCATGAAATCTAATCTAACATTTCTGGCATCCCTTAGCACTTACTTTGTCTTTAATTAATTAATCAAGTCGTTTCAATAACATCATACCTTTCGGTAGTTATTGGTTATTGTGATACTACGTTCTATTATAGAATAATGACAACTGATTTGTCTAAATCTTTCAGATAATCAGGTAATTTAATATTTTATTTCTACAGAGTATTTCAACAATTATTTGACATTTTATATGACAGAAACGTTTCAGTTTTCCCAAAGTTAGAGTTGTAGATCATTTGAAGGAAACAGTTTTATGATAAACTAATATAATCGTAGCCAGAATTTTCATTTATAGTATCATAATTAAACAAGCGATCCTGGTGGCCATTTCCCGAAGAAAAAAAGGAGAGATAAAGGGGAATGAAATCATTCATTTCTGACTATCAAATTTTACTTTGAAATAACATGAATATGTTTTAAGTATCTTACCTTCTTTCCTGATTCTTCTCCTTCACATATTTTTCTCATAGCTTCCACGTCGGTAGTGCCAGGCATATGTTTATCTTTGCAATCTTCATATACCTCCACAAACTATCAGAAGAAACAATGAATACAAATTATCATCACTGCTTGGGAAATTAGAAAGAGCATTATATGACGTACAGAAATATACACGATTGTTTAGATTTTATAAATATTATTATTATATTAAAATATTGTTAATTTGTAATTATTATCATTATGTTGTTGTATACACTGGTGATGAAGATTTATTTTGTTTCAATATGAAATACTACGAGTTTTGCTATTATAGATACGACAACACGTTACGCGTTTGCTGTTATCCATACGACAACGAGTAGTTTCCAATTTTTCAATATAAAGCTAGTTTTGCTACATCTTCAAAGCAACAAATTGTTTAAATATAAAATTCGCCCTTACCCATGCAGGGGACTTCTTTCCTTCACACGTAAGAAACTCCTCTAATTGGTCATTAGTTAAATCTAAAACAGATAAAGAAACCAAATGGGATATATAAATTAGTGATGCAATATCGAAAAAACTCTCAGGCTTTAAAAACAACTTCAGTTAAGTGTTACTTCCGGTGCTTTTATTTTACTTGGTGTCAAAATGTTGACTCTGTTGTATTATTTTTTATATTCATTACAAACAAAGAATCATAAACTAAACAATAGCAATAGTTTTAGCCAAATTATATTCTCCTTTTCCTAGCACATTATATCTTGTGCTTACTTCATGATCTTCACTACTAGTGATCGTAGTGTACATATTAATATCCAGGTATCTAGGCTTGTGAAGTGTTTCTTTTACGATGATTTTATATGATTTGTATTTATATTTGTTATTCATGGCAAAGTTGATAAAGACATCTACCCCTTTCACCAATTTTGAATTATTGACCAGTGAGAGAGAGAGAGAGAGGTCAGCCAGTCAGCAGCACTGCACCATCCACGTAACTTAGGGCTACCAAATGACCAACCTGCATCTATTATATGCTAAATATATGTTGTTAGTCAAATTCCATTAGTTTATGAGACCGCCAGTGACTTATCGGTAAGCCAGGAGCTCGTAACACTAGATAGCCAGGTGGTTAAGACGCTCGACTCGCAATCTGCGGGTCGCGAGTTCGAATCCCCGTTCCACCAAACATGCTCGCCCTTTCAGCCGTGGGGGCGTTATAATGTGCGGTCAATCCCACTATTCGTTGATAAAAGAGTAGCCCAAGAGTTGGCGGTGGGTGGTGATGACTAACTGCCTTCCCTCTAGTCTTACACTGCTAAATTAGGGACGGCTAGCGCAGATAGCCCTCGTGTAGCTTTGCACGAAATTCAAAACAAACAAACAATCGTAACACTAAAAATCGGGTCTTCATATCCGCGGAGGGCAGAAAAGAAACATTCCACTGTGTAACATTGCGCTTAAAAACAAACAAAAAACATTTAAAAAATGGAATATATATATATGCTCCACCTTTCATGTCGTGAAATGTTGCCTGAAGTGCAGGGTGATAATGTAAAAGTATAAAAAGAAAACCAACACATATTCTATCGACATGGACACCTATTAGCTGTCCTACCGGGGGACCTGTCAACATCGCTTAAAATATTATGGTAAATCAAGTCAGGAAATACAACAAAAACAATCAAATGAAATGCGTTTTTTCACCAAAGTTTTGTATTTCTTAAAAGTTCGTTGTAGACACTGAAGTCAATATTTATAATAATTTTATTATAATGAACACTAATGATAAATTGTTTATCAAGACCGGTTGTGTCTTAGTTCACTGTTTTCTTTGAAGAAAAAGCCTCAAGGGGAGAATATATTTAATTCATCTCGCAGTCAAATTTTTGGATTAAGGCTCCTCAGTGGCTATTCCAACTGCGTCTTTATAAGGTTAATAATTCTAACAATACTGAGTTTTTGACAACTAACTTAGCGCACTCTGGTGGAAACAAATAAAGAGTTGAATTTCTTGCCAAGATACTTGAGAGATCTCTGCACTAGCCGTGGAAATGACAGACTAGAGGAAATGCAACTAGTTAACACCACCCACTGTTAATTTATCTTTTACAAGAATCGAATAGTGTTATTGACCGTACATTATAACACCCTCATGGCGGAAAGAGCGAGCATGTTCTGTGAAGGAATTTGAAACCGCGACCCGCAGATTGAGAGTCGAGCAACTTAACAAAAACACCATTTCAAAGAAAGGAAAAGACAAAATAATTACATTCGTTCTTCTCTTACAATTTTTTCCTTGTTATCCCAATGTATCCCCCCAGTGACACAGCAGTAAGCTTACGTACTCCAGGGTTCAGTTCCCATTGTGAATAGGGCGGATATATCCTATTAAGTAGCTTTGCGCTAAAACAAAGAAACAAAAAATACAATATTTCAATACTTACCACAAAATGGAGGCAAAGGAACTTCGCACAGTACAGCCACACTAAAACTAAGAACGAAAGCAATATTCATTAGAGTCTTCATCTTCACGTTTTCCAAGTCTCGACAGCAGAAACAATGTTTAACCATTACTCGTAATTCATATTTTATAGTCATCCAGGACAGGTGAAATCTCACATCCCTAGGCAATTTAACCTCGATCATCCATCTCACTGATATCACATGAGTAGATATTATTATCTAAATAACCGATATGGTACTTTTCCCAAATATCCCGAAATTTTGTTATCTAAATTCCCTAGAGAACAAGAGCATGAAGTCTTAGAATTTGGATGTTGCTCAATCACATTTTGACCACGCTGTCATTTTCTTTTTATTTATATACATACAACAGCTAAGCTATACGCAGTGTTATTTTCAAAATATATTCTCCAGTTCTCTCTCAGAAGGAATAATAACTCCGAACCTTGTTATATTATACCGTGCAATAACCATTTAATTTTGTTACATACAAAAGATGACGCTAGGTAACTAGTTGTGTTTGCTCTGTCCACCACGAGGAATTCAACCCTGCATTTGAGCGTTGTAAGTCCGTGAAATCAACGCTACCTCACTGAATACAGTTGATTAATTATATAGATGAAATTATTGAGAAGCAAAAGTTGTCGTGTCAGCTTTGTCTTATTTAATTCCCATTTTTGCATTCATTTGCAGCACATCGATAGTTACACGAAATATTTGATATGTTCAAATATGTAACTAAAAATTAAATCTTATATAAATTATGATTTTCTTATTTTTTGCTCTTGATTTTTGTGTTTTTCTTGCAATAATTTTTTCGTTATTCTCACTCCAACTGAAATTTTATTTTCTTTGTATTTTGTTGCTTCTAGACTTTGATTTAATTTTCTTTTGATTTTGTTGATAATCTGTTTTCATTCTCCTTATTTTTGTTAGAATGTTTATTTTTATTTGTGTTTCTGTTGAAATTTTGATTTTCATCCTCTTGTTTATGTACTTTTCATTTCTGTCTTCTTTTTTCTTTATAAAAGCAAACCATCCATTATAAAGAAATAATTTTAGAATTTCTTTTTGTAACGATGTTCTTGTAAAATTTCATAAATCCTAAAAATAATGTTTACTAGCAGATGCTTCTTATTTCAAAGAAAACAAAACAAAACAAAAAAAACAATCAACAACCTGCGTCACTTTGTAGGCCTAATACAACGGTATGATCTTATCAGAGAAGTTGATGTGAAAAAACACAAAAAAAAAAACAATGGACCAGATGGAAAGTGTGGTGTGAGGATCAGCTTGTAGATCTCCCATTGATACCATTATTACTTTTATTTTAATATCTCACATGCCACTAGATGGATTTTTATGTTTTTACTAAAGTCGTTTTTGTTTTTGTTTCATGGACAGTTGTTATAAACTATATTTTATATTTTTATGAAATTTTAATCTGAGTTTCTCAGCTAATGGATCTTAAAAGAGCTTTATTCTGGATATTTCGTTTCAAAAATTAAATGTAAATACTTTCTATCATATATTAAAATTAACAAAAGTCAAAGAATTCACAACACAAGTTTCTTGGGAACAACGTCAATTAGCGGTCCTAATAATGCATTAAAGAAAATCATTTGTAAAACTATTAAAACAGTGTAGCTGGACAAAATGATTAGTAAATTTTATAGAATATACATTTAGTATTTCGTAATCCAGTTTATCAATAATGTTGTTTGAAGATTTTGGGGACAAAAACAATATAATTCATTTTCTTCATTTTCTACTGAACAGTATTATAAATATAGTAGTTGCTACGTTACTGATGAATATTTTATTCCCGTAAAGCTAATGGTCAGATAGAAACAACAAAACGTATTTTGTCATTCAAAAGGTTTATTTTCAGCTAAAGTTAGAAATAACAATATAAAAAAATTATACTCAATTCCAATTTTCAGCCCGTCAGTGGCACAGCGGTATGTCTGCGGACTTACAACATTAGAAACCGGGTTTTGATACCCGTGGTGGGCAGAGCACAGATAGCCCTTGAGTAGCTTTTGCATAATTAAAAAACAAACAAACCATTTTTTAAACTTATATATTTGTACCTAAGTATTAACTTTTGATCAGAGCAAGCTACCTACTTAGAGCGAAACTAAGAGTCAACCTGGTAATGAGGTTAGCTAATTAAATATATTTTTACTAAGTTCTTGATTAGAATGCGTTGATTCATTAGTTGGGTACATTCGCTGCTAACGATATTTTCGGCCGTAATCCCATTAATGAATTAAAAATCATATTAATTTATGATTTCAAATAAAAGAGATAAAAAATTACGCCGTTCTGATATTCGAATATTTGTGTTTATTTTAATGGATATTGAAAAGAATAGGTAACTTTTCTTAGTGAAAAGCGACTTCTTAAAATATAAGTAGAATTCGATGCCTTCTAGCTTTAAGATTATAAGATATACTTCTACTTAAATAATTCAAAACTTAAAGCATCAGTTAAGAGAGACCCAAATGTTAAAATAAGTTTGATAAACAGGATTTTAATATCATCACAAATGTAACTGAATATTTGTTAGATATACATGACTGTTTAAGTTAATGAGAGTTTTTATGATTTAGAGGATTTAGTGTTAAATTTTGTTATTTTTAGAAGCGATAGAAGTTTATCGCAGTTTTTACGTAACTGTTTTCGAATTATATGGTGTAGTTCAATTGCTGTAAGCCCCCAGTGGCACAGCGGTATGTCTGCGGACTTACAACGCTAGAAATCGGGTTTCGATACCCGTGGTGGGCAGAGCACAGATAGCTCTTGTGTAGCTTTGTGCATAATTAAAAACACACAAACAATTGCTCTAAATTAATATTTGTTGTATTATTTCGTCATGTTAATAGAAACTTCTAAGTTTTTCTCGTTGTTTTAATTGAGTATTATTGTATTATATCTCGTATTGTTTGGAACGTTCTAGACCTCTGTCGAGCTATAAATACACGTTCGAAATGTAGTTCAAACTAGTTAGTTAGATAGATAAATCTAGACTGTGTGATTGTGAGTTTAGCCATAAAGAATGTATAGTATTTCTAAAGTGAATTATCACAGATTGTGTTGTAATAACAAAGTAGAGAAGAAATAATGTCTTGTCAATTGTGTTCTAAAGTAATTGAACCAGCCTGTGTAGACTTTGACGAAAAAAAAAGAGACAATTATTTAAAGTTCTGGATACAACCGTGGTAGCAAACAGTTATATTGGTGATCTTAAAGTGAAATTATCACAGACTGCATTGTATTAACCAAACAGGAAGAATAATTCGTTTTGTCAAATTGTGTTCTAAAGTAACTGAACCAGCCTGTATGGAATTTGACGAAAAAGAGACAAAAGAGAAAATCTGGATACAACTATGATAACCAACAGTGTAACAAACATTTGTATATACTTTGACTTGTTTTAATATATATGTTGTTTTTGTGCTTTTGCTTATTGTTGAAATTTATCGCCAACAAGTCACAAACACCTACTGTAAAGAATCTGGCCCATACATAAAATACTGACAATACTGTTTAGTATTTTTTAGACTTAAGGCCGTTTTATCCAATGGGCAAAAGAGGCAGTTGTCCAGGGCCTACCACCGTCAGTAGCGCACCCCCGTGTTGCGAGTATAATAATAAATATAATCATAAACATATATAGTTTTCTTTTTGATCCTTAATTTTTATCACTTATAAATTCAGTTTATCATATTGCATGATATTTTCTTAAAAACAAGGGCAAGCAATGGGGAGAGGGGGCACTAGTTTATACTTCACCCAGTGCCCACCAGTGCCATAACGGGGCACTGGTAAGCACACATGTAATGCGTGTTGCCATTAGTTTCACTTTATGAAAATATCATAAGCATGTTGACTAATTATAGTATTAGCTGTAAGTTTGCAGCTTTATGTTTTTATATATTTTCAGGTTGTTCCTCGGGACCGACTGTTTCTTCGTGTTAGTTTCTATAAACAGTCTGTTAATCATTAATATAAAGGCTTTTCGGACATATTGTTTATGAGAAATGTTGTACAACAAGGTGTTAAGGAGATACTTTTAAAATTAACAAAAGGAAAACCTGTGTTCACTGATATGCCTACACACAGCTGTGAATAAAGTGTAGTGATAAGCCACAAAACAGTGTTCCTGGTGGTTTGATCTACACAACGGACATACATGTACATACACGAAACAATGCTTACAGTTTCATTTTGTCTTTCTTTCAAAATATTATCAAGAATGTGTAACAAATTCGAAGCAGAAGAGCCCAAACGTGCTCAAACATGTGACATACCTTTTAGGTGAGTGTGTGGTGATAAATATTTAGCTTGGTTGTTTGTTGTCAGACTAGGTACGTTATTATCCTTGAATCCAGCTGTAAGAATCTTATTCAGGTCAAAGTCATAGCTCCATATCATTTAGATCAAACAACATATGTTCATTACTGCAGATATTCAGCTACATAAGATAAAAGGTAACTGATTATCAGCCTCATAATAGTTGTTTCTGAATATCTCTTTATTACATTAGCAGATGATGTATAATGAAAAAAAAGAACTTTGGACGAAGCCGGTGAAATGTATTATCCGGGTTCTTTTGATTAACCTAAGGGTTCAGTCGTTGTATTTTTTTTCTGAAATGTTTTAGCATAACTATAAAACATAAACAATGTTCATATAATTAATGAAGTCTATTTAACTCCCATAAGAAATTTTTTTAATTATATGAAGATTTTTTAATCGATTTATTTAAATTTGAGATTGTAACCTCTAAATGTATTTTCATTTCGGTCTAGGACTTTATTATCAATACAAGCGGTAGTAACACTAGATTTCGCATCAGTTCGTCTGCTTGTATTAATTTAAACTTTACAAGAAGCATTAGATTAGCTTCGTTCATGGCTATAAACATTAGAGGTCGCTTTCATCTAGTCTACAACAATAATTGTATTAATGATTGTTGAAGAATAACGGTTTTGGTTTAAATGAGGTGATGTTTCATGTTTTCTATAATATTTCATAAATTTTTCAATGATGGATTATCATTTATTCTGTATAATAACGCACCTAAACCCGGTTACAGAACGTGTTACCGAAGAGTAAAACCACGTGGAAAAAATTTATTGCGTTGGGTTAATTGTTTCCTGGTGTTTTTGAACAGAATACTTCGTAGTGTTGTGATTTAGTCCAGTATTCCATGCATTTAGATTGTTTACATGATTCCAACAAAAAATATTTTAATTAATCAACAAAATAGGATTTATTTGAAAAATTGCAAAATAAATGTTTCAGTTTTAATCATTTTCGTTATAATGCTACAACATTTTTTTTTTTTTGGGGGGGTGCAGTTTAATCACAATTTATGCGATATCAATTCACTTTGAAAAGTTACGTGTAACATACCTTACAATACTTCATGTAATTTATCTGGACTTATGTCTCGTTTGGTTAACCTTCTCCTTCTTACCTTGATGTCAGCCTCATCTCATTAGCTCAGAGTTTCTTTTCATTTGGTCAGTTTTCGTTGTGACTATTTTTTTTATCAGTATAAGATTTTCATGTATGCGTGAATTACTCATCGCCATACTGACCACACGTGTGTCTTGGAGTTGATCTTTTTAGGTTAAACTTTTCACGTGTTTCCGTACGCGGGTCTTTTCTGGTTATTTGTAGTGGGCAGGACACAGATGGCCCATTGTTTAGCTTTGTGCTTAACTACAAACAAACAAACCCAATCTGAGGGTCGCGGTTTGAATCCCTGTTACCGAACATGCTCGCCCTTTCAGCCGTGGAGGAGTTATAGTGTGAAGGCCAATCCCACTATTCATTGGCAAAAGGGTAGCCCAACGGATGGCGGTTGGTGGTGTTAACTAGCTCCATCCATCTAGTCTATCACTGCTAAATTTGCGACGACTAGGACAGATAATTCTTGTGTAGCTTTCTGCGAAATTCAAAACAAATGCTAACGTGTCATCTACTCTATCTTCGTGTTCCTGAACTACCAAACTCATTGTTTTGGTAAAAACCAGTTGGTTATATAACACATTCTGAATACTATATTTATATTGTTTGAATGATTTATATTTTTTCTAACCGGTTATTTTGGATTATTTGGGAAAATGAATTTCAAACCTTTTAATTAATGATAACAACAACAACAAATATATTTTTCAAGTTCCACATTTAACGTAACCAACGTTAATTACCCATGTCTTTACACATGCTCAGGATGTTCGGTTATTGTCTTGTCCTTCATCCTAACTTTTACGCGTTAACTATGCTTTAGAATCATCCTTCTGATGTGGCACACCACATTTATTAGATAAAGCACCTAAGTATGCCTGATTGTTGTTCCGGCTCTATGTTGGAAGGTACATAATGTTTTTAAATCTGGTTGTACAAGTGAGAAAAAAGATGAATAACTTTCTGTTTAATATTCCAAACATTCACCTTGGACATTTCATAAACTATGTCTGATATGCCTCCCATGGTAATTTTCCATCGCAGTCTGTTGTTTTTTCTATTGAGCAATGTTAATGATCTAGCTTTCTAAGCTTTTTAACCTGAAAAGTAATGGCGTATATGTTAGAGTTCAGGAATGTAATAAAGTTACCGGTGGCATAGCAACGAATCTAACAAGTGTAAACAAGATTGTTTATCCTGTTCTTTAGAACATTGTTAATGGCGTAAGAACTGTTTTTTTGACGTATCTCTCTGATTAAGTGTTTCCATAGTTAATTGCATGTAAGGTTGAATATCTCGAGCGGATACATTATAGTTGGATGTTTTTGGGACTCAACATGTCCTTTGAACAGTATTTTTGTAACTGATAGTGCAAGTCTAGCTTCACATATTGTTGTGTTGCATTACACTATCCTATTTTAATTTTTATTTATTTAGATACTTTTTACTTTGTTGGGGAGATATATCCTAAACCCAACAGTTCAAACACTTTGTGTTTTTCATCGTTCTTTCACAAGTTTATGTTTTGTTCATTATACTAATAATTATTTATATTTTCTTTAAAGCTATGATGGCATATTTGTTCAGTGATCTTTAACTTGACAGATAGTGTTGTAACAGATAACAAATTGAACTTTGAACTTCTCATTTTTGCGGGGTGTGAAAACCAAATTTGGAGCATTTTCATCGATGCAAAAAGTAGGAAACAGTCTTCTACGTTATTTTATACTAGACTATTTTATTATACCTATATTTACTTCATTTTCGAACTGTATCCAACATACACCAGTTTTATATGTGAAGAAGAATTTTGTTTTCTATACAAATACCTAGTTTTTGTTATTTATCTCCCTGAGTAATACTGTACACCAGCAAACCCTATTTAAAATCCATACTAACGTTAATTATGATAACTATCGTTCAGAATGATATTCATTACTTGGTACCAGATTTTAATTTGTGTAAGATATACCACCTGGTGTTGAAAGAGACAACTAAAACAGATTATCGTTCATCATTGTTGAGCTCTTAGTGTTATGTGGATAAATGAGATACTGTATTATTACCCTGTTCACTAATAAAACATATTACTATTGTGTACTTGAATTTTAGAAATCAAAATACATCATTGTTATCTATTAAACTGTTTTACTATTCACTGATATTAAATTTAAATAAAAAACAGATATGTTTATCTTAATATGTGTATTTTGATACATTGTTTACAAGTCAGAAATTTATTACACAGAAAAATGTAATCAGACATTTCTATTGATTGAAGTTAAAATGGTGCTACCACGAGAAAAGAAAATATAAATAATATTTAACAAAGTATTACAACTGAAGTCTAAAAAAAAAAAGTTATAGTGCTTCTCTCACATCAAGTTTTAGTTGAGATATTTGTAACAATTTAAGCTATATAAGACCATCAGTTAATATTATAAATTCTCACCTAATCTTTCTGTAAAATATATATAGCTGAAGTTTTTATGTAAACAAAATTAACATTCAGAAATGTCTTGACAGCCTTCCAGACGTGGTCAGTACTGGCAACCAATCACATATATTCATTGTTGTTGGATATTATTTATTTTTATATACAGTGATGTCTGTGTATATATATATATATATTTGAAAATATTTCCTGTTATCATAACTATATTCACTTTAGTGAGCTTTGGGACAAATTAACATTAATATAGGAACATTATATTAAGAATGTAGAGTAGGCCTAATATGGAGTTGTATTTTGCAGCTCAAACGATGAAAGTTTATCCTGTTCTGTTTTCAATACATCCATAATCCTTTAGATACAAACTTTAGGCTTTATTGATAAAATCCAATTTAAAAAACATAAAATAGCAAACGTGATGAAATTGAAAAGTTAGCGTTAACATGTATGAGACCCCAAAATGTGTGAGTCACACTGTGCTATGCAAAAGAGAATATACCATCAGTTTGCTTACAGCTTAAAAGCACCTAAGCCTCCACTAGACGCAGACACTCTTCCTCAACTTGTTTCAGCTCCTCTTCTATTTGTCTCTGAAGAGATATGAAAGTAGTTAAAATTACATGTTTTATAAGTGGTTTTACATTATTATACTATTTTGCACAGAATCCTAGTAAAATCGTTAACTGAAATAGCTTACAGTTCAATTTAGAGGTATATAGTAGTGTGTCTCAATACGTACAGAACATGCTGAACCAAATTTTTCTAGAAGTGAAAATTTAAGGTTATCTTAAAGTAATAAACATGAAAATGTAACCAGACTAAAATCTACTATATATATTATATAATTTAAACATCCTTTAGTATATACATTTGTCATTTATAAACGTTATATGTAAGGTAATTTATTAGATTTGAGAATTCAGTACTGCTGAAACCTCCGTGGATTCTTTTGTAGATGTAAAACTTTAGTTTTATTCACGGAAGTTATTGAACATTTGTAAACAAAATTTAAGTTATACTCATCAAATGTCATTAGTTAACATTAACTATCACAATATATGCAGGATACATAAGAGTATTGTATCGGTTTCTATTGTTGGGCAGATTCTTCTTTGTTATTCTGTAAAAAAAAAAAACGTAACAAATATCAATTTGATTACGTTCTACAAGTAACGTTCTCTGATAGGCACTTACTTGTTATATTTCCTGTCGTATGTATAGCACAAACGAAAAAATAAATACAGCACCTAACTTATTTACTGAAGGTTTAACTCACTTACTGACTGTCTACCTAACTGACATGATAACAGTGTTACTGTATCATTAACTCGCTTACTCAGTAGATCGAAAACAATGTATGAAATGCACTAACTAACTTACTCACTGATTTTGTTTTGCTACATAATATTCGTTTTCCCCGAAACTCTTTATATTTCAAGAGGCTAAGTATTTAGACAGTCAGAACATTTTGACGCGTCACAAATCATCACTACCTGATGTCAAAGCTTCCTCTAGAAAACAATACAAATATTCAAATTAAAATATTATAAACATATCCTACAACAATAGTGGGTACTTACAATTGCAGGACCGATACACATGATAAGCTAGAAAAAAAACAACAACAACATAAAATGAAAATTATAAACATGGTTATGTTAATTTGAATATTTTGCATTAGTATTCGACATTCTAAATAATGAAGTAACTATTATGTATCATATTATTGTGGTTTCCTTGTTCTCCAATTCCTTTATTTCTTTATGATACATACTTATTCAAAACATAAAAGGTTTAATTTCAGTGTTTTTTTAACATTTTAAGAAAATTAGTTATATGGAGGTTAATAATAAATAAATAACCAGTAGAATAAAGCTTTTGAAATATCACAAAGAAAGGTTTTTTTGGTTAAAAATATAATAAGTTGAAAATTTAACGTTGTTAAAGTACGTGTTTGATATAGAAGTAATGTCATTATAATACAAACATCTTTAGGTAACATATTGACAAAGTATGAAATGAATGTTTAATAATAAATTAAGCACTGGGGAATGACAGGAATGTTAATTTACGTTTCCTGCTCTGCTATTATTTCTGGGTTAAGCTCATGCTTATTGTGTTGCTGTTCTTCTTAATTAAAATTAAATTACTCAGTCTGACATATTTTCTGAATTGAAACTACATTTTTACGTTAGCAATGTTGTTGACTTAATTCACTAACTATTTCATTAAAGCCTTATCTTATGGTGTCATTGGTTGTTGTAATAATAAGTTCAATTATAGAAGAATGAAAACTAAGTAGCTTACATTTGTCAGATAATCTGGTCATTTAAGCTTTGATTGTCATAGAGTGTTCGTAATACAATTAAGAAACCGCTAAAGTGCGTTATGCTCTTTCCAAATATATATATATATATATTTAGGTGTATTCGATTATAATATAATGTAAAATCTTATATTTAAGTCAGATGAATAATTATTTTTAAGTATAAAAATATTTAATGAAAATTCTATGAGAGAGGAAAAATATTGTATTGTAGAATAACCTTAAATAATTTGTGTGTTGAACATTCTTTATTTTCTATAGCAACTTTTGAACTCTTAATAATAATGTGTTATACAAATAATAAAAGTATTGAATAAGAGAAAAAAAACTGTTATTTACGGCATATTTTCTTTTCCTCCCTAAAACATGTAATTTCAGTGATGAAAGGAAAGAATCCGTGAAGGTTAAAGAAAATAATCAATCAAAGGATAGATTAGGCTTCTGCGTCATTCGCGTAATATTTGTTTTCACCTCTGAAATTATATGTTTCAGTAGGAAAAACACAAATTCACACTTAAATTACCTACTATTTCGTTGAATATTAATGAATAAATAATTAATTGTAATTATTAATTATCAATAAATAATTAACTGTAATCAAATGTTATTCAAAACCAAGTGTATATTAGGTGAGTAAAAGACTATATACATACAGTATATATGGCCTATAAAGAGTAGCAACAGTTCTTCAGTTATTTTGTCTGTTTTAAACAAAATAAATAAATATATTTTAGACTAGTTATTCTGTGAACATCAAAGATCCATTAAGAATCTTACCGTCATTCCTGTTTCTTCTCCTTTACATATTTTTCCTAGAGCTTCTACATCGTTTGTGCCAGGCATAACTTCATTTTTACAGTCATCGTATTCTTTAAAAAACTGTCGGTAGAAATTATCATCACTGCTTAGAAACAGCGTTACATGACTTATAGGAGTATACGATATTGTTTGATTTTATAACTATTTTAACTTAAGCCTTAGCAACATTTTCTTCTTTGATGTATACAAAAACCCACTGGTGATGAAGGTTCATATTGTTTCAATATGAAATACTACGTATTTTGCTATCATCAATACGACAAAAATTAGTTTTTTTTTAATTTTCAATATAAAACTAGTTTTGTTACATCTTTAAAGCAACAAATTGTTTAAATATAAAATTTGTCCTTACCCAGGCAGGAGACTTTTCTCTTGCACACGTCATATACTTCTCCATTTTATCAAGTGTTAACCCTAAAACAGATAAAAAAATCACATGAAATATACATACAATAGTGATCAAGTATCGGAACAAACTTGTCATTATGTGTGGGTAAGTTACAGAGAGAGAATCATAAGTATAAACAATACTTAAAGTGAACTGTTTATTGCCCTTTTCCTAGTCAATTATATATTGATATTTATGTGACCAATTTCAAACTATTGTGTGTTGCGTGCATATTAACCACCAGGGTTTTACGCCTGTTAACTTTTTCTTGTACGACGATTACATGTAATTTGTATTTGTTTTTTAATTTCATGGAAAAGTTATTAAAGTTGTCTGCCGATATCACTCATTTTGAACTATTGACCAGTGAGATAGCAGCCAAACAGCAGTACAATATCACCCAAAAGTATTGTTAAAAGTTTTTGTGTCACTCATATAACGTAGTTTCAGCCTGAAGAGCAGGGAATATTTTGTGGTATTACACGGACTTATTGCCGGCTTGCCAGCTCCGGAATCCAGAACCCTATCACGATACCAACCCGTGTACATATATAAGTTATTAAACAAATTACCTAATTGCAAGACCTCCCCCCCCCCCCGTCCCCCGGTGGCTCAACGGTAATCACGATGGCTTATAACGCTAAAATTAAAATCGGATTTCGCTAACGGCGATGAGCAGAACGTAGATAACCATTGTGTAGCTTTGCGTTTGATAAAACGAACAATTAACACCATGAATGCTAAGAAAATTTAATGACTAATATGTTGTCAAATGTTGTTTGAAGTGCAAAGGAATTTTATTAAAGAAAAATGCAAAAGTGCAAGAAAGAAAAAATATTCAAACGAAATGTTTTGAGTGTCTTTCAGTTTTATATTTCATACTAGTTCACTGTAAAAACTGATATCTATTTTTAATGAATCAATTTTATTACTTTTATCATAATGCACATTAAGTATCTATAGTTTATGAAAACTAGTGGGATTTCCGTTAACTGTTCTCGTGAGAAAAGCTTCAAAGGGAGAAAATATGGAGTTAACCCTGAAACCATTTGTGCCCTTAGGACGTTAAGGGCTCTAACAACAGAGGGTATTTTACAGTTAAAACTTAACGCTCGCCAGGCCTCTACAGAAAGGAAAAGACAAAATATTCACGTTCTTACGGCATCTCATTTAATATTTTCTCCATTATCCCAATATATGAGTTCCCCAGTGTGTAAGCGGAAAGTTTAGGGACTTATAACGCTAATATACGGTGTTTGATTGCCCCTTCATTAATAGACCGGAAACAGAGTATTATGTAGCTCTGCTCTAAAACAAACAAACAAACAAACACAAGTGTTTAAATACTTACGACAAACTGGTGGTATTGGAGGCTCACTTAGTACAACCACACTAAAAGTGAGGATCAAAGCGGTGAGGATCAAAATCTTCATCTTCAGGTTTTCCGTGTTTCAACAAAACTAACAATGTTGAACCATTACTCATATTTTATAGCCATCCAGAACTTGTGAAACCTCACATTCCCAGACCTCGATCATCCATCTCACTGACATCACATGAGTAGATCATATTATCTTAATAACGGATGGTACTTTTACTAAAGAACCGCGTTTTTGTTATCTAAATTCCCTAGAGAATAAGTACACGGAGTTCTAGAACTTGGATATTGCTCAAACACGATTTGACCACCCTCTCACCTTCTCTTTCTTATATACATATATCAGCTAAATTATAGGTAGGATTGCTTTCAAGATACAGTTTCCAGTTCCATCTTACGAAGAACAATATTTCTGGACATCATAAAATAACACAATATCGTGTGTAGAAGTTGGTTTTTGTCCTATATCTCTGGACTTGTTGAGATTATTATAGCGTCCAGTAACTAGCTAGGTTATGTTACTTACACAAACACGCCAACTCCACAACCCATATCAAAAGATGACGCTTGGTGATTAGTTTTGTTTGTTTGCTATAGCGCAAAGCCACAAAGTAGACCATCTGCGCTCTGTTAACTATGGGGAATCGAACCTCTTATTTGGGCGTTGTAGATTTGTAAACTTGGACAGGTGACTAATTAAATAGATAAAGTTAGTGAGAAACCTAAACTGCTGAATCAGCTTTTATTCTTAAATTCCCATCTTTGTATTATCATTTTCAGTTCCAGTAAATCGACGGTTACATTTTTGATACGTTCAAAGATGCAACTAAAAGTAGATGTTAGTGTTAAAATATTGTTCTTTCGTGTTTTGGATATATTGAAAATCAAATTTATAAACAAGTTTCGTGGGAACCATTCTAATTAAAAGTCTTAGTTGAAGAAAATTACGTATGAAACTTTACAACAATGTCAATGAATCAGTAGATCGACAAAATTATTGATAAATTTTATTTCTTATGTAAATATAAGTTTTACTATTTTTTATATTTATTTTACCAAACTATGCCACCTGGAAGGTAAACACAAATTGAAACTTATTGCAAATATCTTAATAATTCCTCGCTAGGTAGATTTCTATTTTAATATCTCGCATGTCACTAGATGGATTTTTAGTTGTCATTGGGTTTTTTTCAATGATGTACATGGGTTAATAGACTATACTAAGTTCTGATTAACTGTTTATCAGAGTTTCTTAGCTAGTGGATCTTAAAATATTTTTATTCTGGATATTTCGTTTGAAAAATTAAATCTTTTAATCAGATACATTATTTAAGAAAAGCCAAATAACACATAATACAAGTTTCTTGGGAGTTACTCCATTTAGTGATCCTAATTATACATTAAAGAAAATCACTTTTAAAATTATTTGATTAGTGTAAATATATCAACACGTTGACAAAATTGTTGGTTATTTTTTTTTTTAGTTTATGTAAAGTTTTAATAGTTCCTAATTCAGCTTATCATTAACTTTGTTTAATATTGTCGATAAGATTACAATACACTTTTTTTCATGTTGGCTCTAATTATAGCATCAGCGGTAAATTTTTAACTTCATGTTTTTATTTGTTTTCTTCTTCTTCTCAGGAAATGAACATTTCTTCATTTTAGCTTATATATATATATATATATATATATATAT